CTGTTGTCGTGGTGGTTGTCGACCATTTTCTCCAGCGCTCTGGTCTTGTGTGTGCCTGTGTCTGCAGACAACCTGTTAATCATGAACAGCTTTGTCTGGTACTTCCTGTAGATAGTTCACACAGAGGAAGACTGTTTGCTCCTTAAAGTCACTGTTTTCAAATTTATATGTGTTGTACATTGCACTATGAAGTGAAGAGAAAGAGAACAGAATTCAGCCCATCTAGAAAGGGCTGTCTTTCACACACTGGTGAATTGCGGCCTCCTCCATGCAGATTCTGTGACTACCTGTGGCACCGAATGCATCGCCACCTGTGCAGGCGGCACTTTGCTTGTGTCACCGCTCCCTTCTGCACTGACCTCATTCTTCCCTGTGTTGCAGTCACCCTTTACGCGTCATCTTCCCCTCCTGTGGCTGCGTCTGAAAGGCAGTGGCCGCATCTTAATCCCTCAACAAATATCTTGAGCATCTGCTATGTGCCAGGCACTGGCCTGGGAGCTACTCAGTTGGAAGTGAATGACGCTGACAAAGTCTCTCCCTCCCACAGTGTGTCATCTTTGTATTTCCCAGCACCTATCAAAAGTGTATTAGTTATCTATTGCTGCGTAACAAATTACCCCAATACTGAGCAGCATAAAACAAATGTATTCCTCATGCAGTTTCTGAGGAAGTCATGGGTGTTTTTTTTTTTTAAGCCAAAATTTTGTTAATTTTTTCAGATTAAAAATGTTGTACGCACATATGTCGATATAATCTGGGAGGAATCTGGGAGCAATTTAGCAGAGTAGCCCTGGCTCAGGCTTTCTCAAGAGGTTGTGATGCAGGAGGAGCAAGCCCCAAAATTGGAGGGTTCTTGGCTTTGCCCAGGAAAGAATTCCAGGGTGAGCCGGTGGTGTTAGTAACTTTTATTGAAGGGGCAGTGCATGGCAGTAGCAGAGGTGCTGCTCCCTGCAGAGCAGGGCTACCCCATAGGCAGTGTGGCCAGAACAGCAGCTGAGAGGCAGTTCTGCAGTCCTATTTATGCCCATTTTTAATTATAGTTAAATTTTGGGCAGTTTATGCAGAAACTTCTAGAAAAATGGTGGCAACTTCTGGGTTGTCATGTTGCCGTAGAAAGGGGTGGTAACATCTGGGTGTTGCCATGGCAATGGTAAACAACATGGCACTTTGGTGGGTGTGTCTTATGAAAAGCTGCTCCTGCCCCATTCCTTTTTTTAGCTAGTCCTCAGTTTGGTCTGGTTTCTGAGCTCTGCCTCTAAAGTCGAATCTTGCCTCCTGCCTCGGTTGCGGTAAAGATATTGTCCAGGCTGCCATCATCTGAAGGCTTGACATGGTGGGAGGATCTGCTTAGAGGCTCACTCACCTACATGGCTGTCAGCCAAAGCCCTCTCTGTGGGCGCTCATGACATGGCAGCTGGCTTCCCCTCAAACAAACATTCCAAGAGAGAAAGACTGAGCCAGAAGGAAGCTGTGTGTCTTTTGTCTCAGTTCAGAAGTGACACACCATTACTTCTGCCATATTCTACTGGTCACACAGACCAACCCTGGTACAACGTGGAAGGGGGTTGATTGCAGAAGGTGCTGGGATCGTGGGGTCTATTTTGAAGGCTGGCTACCAGAGTGGGGCTTTCCACAGTGGGTGTTCCATAAATACCTGTTAAAGTTTTTACCCCTACAATCCTTAAGTCAAAAGCTCTACTTTTATTTTTAATAGACTGTGTTTTTTAATAGTAGTGTCAGGTTTATAGCAAAGGCAAATGGAAAGTACAGAACATTCCCATATATCCTGCACCTCCCCGTGCACAGCCTCCCCCGCTGTCAACGTCCCCACCAGCATGGTGCATTTGTTACAATCAGTGAGCCTATGTTGACACATCGTTATCACCCAGAGCCCATCGTTTACATTAGGGTTCCCTCTTGGTGTTGAACATTCTGTGGGTTTGGCCAAATGTCTAATGGCATGCATCTGCCATTGCAGTATCATACAGAGGAGTTTCACTTCCCTGAAAATCCCCCGTGCTCTGCCTGCTCATCCCTCCTGCCCTCCCAATCCCTGGCAGCCACTGATCTTCTTACCGCCTCCATACTTTTGTTTTTCCCAGAATATCTATCACATAGTTAGAATCATACAGTGTGTAGCTTTTTTAGGTTGGCTTATTTTACTGAGTTAATTATGCATTTAAGATTCCTCCATGTCTTGTCATGGCTTGATAGTAAATTTTTAAAAATTTTTTAACAAAAAAGTAGACATACTTTTTGCCCTGACTTTGCTGTTAGGATCATTTTGGAGTGTTTGTAACCTTCCACTAAGTTTAAATAATTTGAAGGGTTTACCCAGCTAACACGCTTCTGCCACCTGGAAAAAAAAAAAAGTCCATAAATGTGTTTTGAGCAGCCTTTGCGACTTGTCTTAAATTGTCGTCTTTCCCTTGCAATCAGATTCTCTAAGGGTCTTGCCAGACCATTCATGTTCTGCTTGTCTAACCATTCGTGGGAAACCTCTATTTGAAACCCTCATTATGTCCTATTTAAAATAGACTTGGTTTAACGCACAAAGTAACAAAGTCTTGCTGAAAGAACTAAGCTGTCTCAGAGGAAGGTCTGTGTTCTGCATGTTGGTTGACTAAGGCACCTGTCACAAGCAGGGGCTTGCTATTAAATAGCCTCAGGTAGAGGGCAAGGGAACTATTCTTTTTTATGGGAAAAAAAATAGAGTGACATCATTGCACGTTGACGCACTCCTACAGTGAACCAGCAACACATATGCAGATGACAAAGGCAAACTTCAAGTTAACTGTTTTCATGGCTGTGTGATTTTCCTCCTCCTATTCTGTCATGAGGCTAAGGAGGAAGCAGGGCTCAAAGCAGGAGAGCTGAAACTACCACCATGAGAACGAAACCAGTATTTGTATAATATTTTTCTATTCCTCCCACTCTGACTCTTGAGAGGAACAGACTTTCCTCTGGTAAGTTGCAACCAGACAGCTAGTGGCTCTCATCAGAAGGAAAAAAAAAGAAATGCTACCAGGAGCCTACATATTTAGGAGCAAAACCCTTTGTAGAGCCTAGTGTATGGTAAGGGATGGAAAATCCCAGGAAAGGTTTAGGGTGAGTTAGAAAGATGTGCTCTATTTTGTCTTAGCAGAAAATCAGCTCAACTCTTCAAAACTTGCTAATGTAAGGACGAATGAGAATGGTCATTGGATTTGTACTTGACAACTTGCTTGACACTGCACCCAATGTCTTATAGAAATATTATGTAATAGCTCTGTTTAGCTGGTTTAACAGCAGTATTTGTAATAAAACGAAGTCAATGAGTGGGAAAATGTTCCTTATATAACAATACCTCTGGGGAACCAGGGCTGTGTGGATCCTACGGTACCAATAGTCACCACCATTTCCCTTGTGGTCATAAAACCTCCTGAGGCCAAGGAGGTAGTAATGATACCTGGGAGGTGATATATAACCTTTGAGGTACCTCCTTGCAAATGGAAACCTACGAAGGAACTGCAAACATGGCACCATCCTTCAAGATGTTTTCTAAATATCAATTTTAGCCTCTCAACAACCTTTTGCTGCCCAGTCCAGTTAGTGACACTCCTCTCCTTTCCATTCCTTTCCTTTTTCCTTTCCTTTCCTTTGACAGTCTCACTGTGATGCCCAGGCTGGAGTGCAGTGGTGTGATCTCAGGTCACTGCAACCTCCGCTTCCCAGGTTCAAGTGATTGTCCTGCCTCAGCCTCCCAAGTGGCTGGGATTACAAGCACACTACACCACGCACAGCTAATTTTTGTATTTTTAGTAGAGATGGGGTTTCACCATATTGGCCAGGCTGGTCTTGAACTCCTGACCTCAAGTGATCCACCTGCCTTGGCCTCCCACAGTGCTGGGATTACAGGTGTGAGCCACTGCGCCTGGCCTTAGTTAGTGACACTCTTGAAGTGGGGACAGTCCTTCTGGAGAGGGGTCTCATCCACAGGGGGTAAGGAACAAGCATTAAAGGGATATGCATTTTTTAATGCCCCCCCCCACCCCACCCTGGTGATTCCTACATGCCCTGCTGACATCGGGGAGGGGATCCCTTCTTTCCACTTTCAGTCAACAGAGCAGGTGGAGGTCAGTAAGCCTCTGCATGGGTCGTCTGAGAAGGCTGCCTTGAAGGACAAGTTCAGATAAAAGATCAACGTGGGTCCTGGGGCCGGATTTGCCGCTAACATTTGACATTCTTTATCTGTACACCAAAGGGGTTGAATTACATGGCCCAAAAGGCCACTGCAGCAATGATATTTCCCTATTCCATTTTGAGCAGAATTTGAGGAGTGTCACAGGATGAGGTGACTGTGTTCTCCAGCAAATCTAAATGCAAGGTTGCAAGCTGGTCAGAGCTGGCTTACAAATGTGTTTTGTTTACACTCCCCAGTGTTTTGTGTTTGATGAATTAGTTGCCAATACTTAAAAATAGATGTAGAAAATTCTGTATCTGGCCACACCCACCCCTCATCCCTGCATAGTAGCCTCTGCCAGAGCAGGCACGTGCTATTGGCCTCCCCATAGTCCCGCTGGGCCCATTTCCCTCTTTCCCATACCTCCCCAGCCACTGTAGAAGTTTGGAGTTTGCAACTTCTGTTTTAATTTCTCTTCATGCTCCCTGGATCCCATGGGACGATGACACTTTGTAAAGGCCACATATCCAAGACTAATCCAAGGTCTTTCTGCTGCTTGAACTAGCTCAAGAAGAGTTGGTTTGTGTGAGCATGTGAGCTGTGGACATGTGATCTGGCTTGGTCATGAACACAGAGAGTGGGAGGAGAGGTAGAGGCTGAATGTGATGGTCCTGGAAGGCTCCCCATCAGGTGGTTGCATTCTAGACATGCAAAAGGGATGTGAGAAGTTCAACATGAACATCTGCATGCATCAGGGAGAGATGAGACCAAAAAAGAAAAGAGCTTATGGGGTTTTTAAGTGTCTTCTTTCCTTCCTTTTCTTACCCTTATTGTCCAGGTCCATGTCACAAACGGCGGGCGAGCAGCTGCTGTACCCAGCTGGGGTCCCTGTCGGCGCTGAAGCATGCTGTCCTGGGGCTCTACCTGCTGGTCTTCCTGATTCTTGTGGGCATCTTCATCTTAGCAGGTAAGAGCAGTTTGTTTTTGTCCTGGTCTTTGGGATGAGGAAGGAAGACCTGGAGTTTCCATTCTTCATTCCCACTGTCATGAGCCCAAACACTGCCCTTGTCACCATGCAAACCACAGAGGAAGAAGGAAGAAGCTCTTCAGTAGTATTGCTTATTTTGCGTGGGAGTAGCCGGCAGGGGCTATGTGAGCTTGCGGAATTGAAGAGTCTAGCAGTAGAGACCTAGCTGCTGGGAGTGGCTTCTGACTTTTCCTGCATCATTGTGGGACATTGTGCATTACACTGGGCCTCCCTGGGCCTCTGAGATATGGTTTGCACTGAGAAGGCTGGGCATTGTCTTAGCTTCTGGTCCTGGGGTGCCATGAAAATAGTTGCGAGGCACTTTCCTTCCTGGTAAACCTGCTGCCCTTTGCAGTTACTGTAGGCAGAATAGGTTTGCCCCAATTCAGCCAGGCTCTCCTTACCAATTTCTATCTTTTGAGATGGGCAGGTGATGGGCTAGGGCTAGCATTTTCTCAGCCAGGGAGAAGGACAGCTCATGGACTTAGGAAGGGATGGAACAGGGGCCTGTTGGCCCCAGTCTGTGAGCACCCCAGCTCATCATCTATAGGTCGTCCCTATGAAGACAGATGGTGAAGCAGATGGCTGTGGTGGTCTTCTCCTGACTCCCTTTCAAAAGAAGGGCTGCTCAGTTCCCACCTTTCTCAATGGAGTTAGGTAGGACTGGACACAAGTAAGGCTGAGGGATCAGTTTATTTCCACCCGACATGTCTCACGTGAGTACCTGCCTTGCAGCAGGCTCCATGCTAAGATTGGGGGCACAGCTAAATAGGACCCAGGGGCTTCTCTCAAGGAGCTTCCAACCCAGGAACCAAGACAGGGTCATGCAGTTAGAGCCCCGCCTCAAGGCAGAATGCAGCGGGCACTGTGATGGGGTGTAGCCCAATGTGATGGTGACAGAGCAGGCACATATAGGGAGGTGCGGCTGCTGCATGGAGCAGGTGGGGATGGTGGGAGCGAGGCTGCTGGCCAGGCCAAGCTGACTTGGAGCACTGAGGGAGGGGACCTCGGGTGAAGCCCAGGGCAGGAATCTGGAGGTCCAGCCCTTACGGATAGATGACCTGACCTTTTGCTGGAAATTTCGAGGCAAATGGCCAGGACCTCCCCGGTCTTGACTCACTTTCTGTCAAGCGGAACTAGTCACTTGGGTGTTGTAATGGGGTGTTCAATGCTGCCTGCGCCTTCAGGTTTCCACACTCAGGGCAAAGACATTGGGGTGGAGTCTGTCCCACCAATGAGCAACCTGAGGGGCGGCCAACAGCAACAATGAGAGAACCTCATGATTCATCCCTGGGACCAGAGGACAGGGGCCAGCAGGGTCCCTCGCAGGCCAAGTGGGCCAGAGGAGGATTTGAACATGTTCTCAGGCTGCTTGGTGAGAGCTTGGGATCTTGGTTTGGTGGGTTTGGCTGCCAGGACCATAACAAAATTCTAGAATGTTTAGGAAGCATTCCAGCCCAACAGGAAACCAGAACAGGGACTTTTAGGTGACAGATGCAGAAAAGCTCTGCAGAACAGGAACTTTTAGGTGACAGATGGGGGTCTGGAGGAGAGGGACCAGATTGGTGGGGGGGTCTGGGGCCAGCCTCTGGAGGTCCTGGAAGGGCATCATCTCTTGGGGAAGAGAAGACTTGCAGTGGAGTGACGGTTCTCTTCTGGTGTCTGGATGGCTGCCTTGTGGAAAGGGTAGACATGCTCTATGTGACCCTAGAAGGCAGCGCTAGGACCAACGGGTGGAAGTTATTAGGAGACAAATTTCCATTCAAAATAAAGGACAGTTTGCTAACAAGTAGTGCTGTCCAGTATGATGAAAAAAAGGCTTTCTCCTGGCTTGGAGATTGGATGAGGTTTATAATGATGTCCTGGAAGCTTCAGAAAGGAGGGTGGAACATGGTTTCCCAATCTAATAAAAATGTTGCCATACCTCAATTGTTCCAGCATTTTTCTGATCATTATAATTATCTTTGAACCTGAAGTTTCTGGATGCCACATTGCCTGTGTTGAACAAAAATTTGGGGTAGATTGGGACAGAGCTGGTGCAACAGTGTCATACCTGATCTCTTGGCCCTGGGTGTGTGGCCGCTGTTACCTCCCCAGATTCTTGTCTGGAGAATCATGTTGGCCTCTGGGGGAGGTTTGGTGAGGGTGGCATAGGAAGGGGACTTGGCAAGGTGGTGGACAAGTCTGAAGTTCTTTAAGGAGGCTCTATCTGATCTTAGGGAGATTTCTTTAGATTGCCTGATTGAAGACCTCAGCGATGCTCCTTCTCAGAGATACCAAGATCAGGGGTGTGGGGAGATCCATGGTCCAGTGTAAAAAAGAGCTTGCCTGGCCTTCTGTTGGGTGACCTGCCATGGGAGAGGGCTTCTCCTTCTTGGGTAGAACTCACTGTCTGTGCCCAGAGAGGTCACCTTGCACAGGAGATCCATTTAAACCATTCTTAAAACCTCCTTGTCAATGCAAATCTCATAGCTCCTACAACTGGATGACAAAATTATCCACTGCAACCCAGCGCCATATCTGAATACTGGATTGGCAACATCTCAGCATGCAAATGCTTACTCTTACTGTTTCCCAGTGTGACAAATTTGTAATCAAACTACACCAAATATGAGTCTTATAAGCCCCACATAGGACTTCTCTCAATTCATCTTCTTGCCCAAATATTGAAAGTAAAAGGCAAACATGTACCTCACATTTATGCATTATCTAAGTTTACCTGTTTGAAGGTTAATCCAACCACCACCCAAATTATTCTATCAATTGGATTCTGCCCACCATCCAACCTGACCAGTGTCCTCCTGGGAGCTTTACTCTGATAATCCCATGCTGTCACTGGGTTCTGTTCCCTAAGCTCACAGCCTTTCATCATCTCCCAAGGAGATGGCAAGAGACTCCTCCTACCCCCAGTTCCTCTAAGCTTTCCTATCTCTTCAACATATTTTGATTATTACCTTGGCTGACAGTTCCCTATTATGTTTTCATTCTGTTCCCAATTCATTTCTGGACAATACAATCAGGTTTAAGTTTATGAACTAAAGAATTGAGATTGCCTAGTCATGTGGCCAGGGGGTCCTCAATCCAGCACTTCAGGCAAGATGTCCTTTGCGATGGAATTAAAGAGTCAGAGAGAGTTCAGTCTTATCCATGACTCTTCTGGGCAGTCACTGTGGTGACTGGGTGTGTTCATTAGGAATGATCTCTTCTTCTCTTTCCTGAGACAGTTCCGTAGATAAGTCTGAATTCTCACTGTGGAAATGAAACAGCAGAAAGGGGAAGTGAAAAGATCTGGGATTCGAATGTGAGGTGAGGCTGTAGCATCGCAGCAATGTAGCAAGACCACTGGTCTACAGGGAGAGTCCCTGGGGAGATATGGGCTCCTCCTGCACCTTAATTTAGTTATTTTCTAACAGTACCAGTCAGTCATTGTCATCAGCATCCTCAACAAGCATTGAATTTGTGCATGAGTGTTCAGTGGGTGCAGGGCAAAGGGATAAGCCCTAGGAATAAAATGTCATGAGATGTAGTCCCTGCACAGGAGGGTTTAAAATCATAAACACATACACCCACTGTAGGGCAATGTGACGTAGTTTCTGCTGTTGCCAAATTATACAAAGGAGAGCCCAATCCCTGAGGGCTGGAATGGTCGGGGAAGGCCTGGGCCTGGGGAGAGTTATCCACCTGGCTTTGAACAGAGTATCCCTTTTTTGGATCACCTTGTTTCAAGCAAGTCTGTCCCTGGACTTTGCAGGAAAGAGTAATATGCTCAGAGCCTGTGTCCATCTACACTGTAGCTTCCTGATTCTATCACGCATCTTGGGAATAGGAGCGCAATGCCATCATCCTTTATTGGGACACTTTGTCAGAAACAACCCTGTGAAATTTCATCCCTTGTGCTTATTGTAAAAATGATGTTGAGGATGTTATTTCTTGCATTACACAATGCTGTCCTCAGAGGATGCATGCACCGATTATTTTCTGTCTCAGTCACAGAAGGAGTTATGTGTTCCTTGAGGAATTTGTTTTCACCTTATGGAGACTGTGAATCTGAAAGTCTTTAAAATTACTTTCAAGGAGGTAACTAACACAAACTTAAGAGTCAGCTGTCATCCCTTGTATGGTGATATGTGAATTTGAAGGTCATTAAAACAAAAACCTGGGGACAGAATTGTGGTCCACCCGCAGCAAGTGTAGAGACTTTAAGGAAAGCATTTTTGTGTTAGTCTCTATTCCTGGCTTCATTCGGGGTCTCTCTGCTTGATCTTCTTTACCTGGATCTCATCTACTTTCATCTTAGTGTAGTTAATGTATCCTTGTGAATTGCCTTAATTCTTTATGGAACAAGGAAGGGTGTTATATACAGTTTTATCTTTACAAAATTTCCGCCTTTTCTATTTCATTCTTCAAATGTGTGATGTTTTTAATATGTGAATGAATGACAGAGACCAGGGAATCTAGAAAATATTTGTAGAAAAAGAAAGATGAGTATTTCAGTTTTACCAAGTACTTATTTGAGATGAATATGGAATTGCTACCCAGGGACATTTAGCTAGTAGAAGTGGCAGGTGTGTGATTAACTATATTAACACATATCTAGCATGTTATGTACTGCATTGACATCATAGCATTTAAGAAGAATATTGAGACAGGCAGGACCATGTAGACTTCATGCTGGTTACAAGTAGGGACTTTGGAGCCAGCCTGTCTGAGCTTGAACCCTGGCTTCTCTATCACCAGCTATGAGACATTGGCTGAGGCACTTGGCCAAGAGCTCCCTTCTCTGAAAATGGGGGAAATCAGTGTACTCCCTATATTAGTCTGTTTTGCATTGCTACAAAGGAATGCCTAAGATGGGATAACTTATAAAGAAAAGAGGTTTATTTGGCTGACAGTTTTGCAGGCCATACAAGCACGGTACCAGCATCTCCTTGGTCTCTGGT